GCAAGAAACCAAGAACTGTTAAGCTATCTTAGTGGGGTAAAGCAGGAAGGGCTGTTCTGTGGCGCCAGTAAATCTAGCCCACTCTGATCAGGAGCAGTAAACGATGTCCATTGCCTGCAGGGGGCTTTCTACTTTTATTACTACCTTTTACCTTTTATTACCCCCTTTTACTGCCCTTTCCCCTATTTGCTCTCTGTATATGCTATCTGGCACGTAGACATGGCTATCCTATCAATATTTAATCCTGGGAGAGAGGAATTTAGGCATTCTTCTCCCAAGTCGTGAACTGGGGTGTGCTTGGATGCAATCTAACCCTGTGGATGGGAGATTAACTTCAGGGAACCTAGGCTGATGATAATGTGTGCGGTTCTACTCATCCCTGTTCTGTTTATTCTGTGAGTAATAAACGCCTGGGGATTGTGCCATTAGAAGTATCTGATCTGTGTTCTGTTCCAAATGGTCCTTCACTAAGAATTTCATTTCAAACCTGAAATAAGTAATTCATACCTGTTTTTATCCAGCAATACCCTAAGGATCTTAAATCCTTATGTAGTTTTAGTTCCTGTAAAATTAAAATCTTTATTTTATGGATGAGTAAATGGAAACACAGAGAAGATAAATAACCTGGCTAAATTACATACCTAGGAATTATAAGAGGTAAGATTTGAACCTAGATAGTAGTTACTGAGGTTGTTTTCTTAAATATATTCTACTGCTTGCTTTTTAAAGTAGTAGCCCTACTCTGCATCTAAATGCTTCTAAAGAGAAAGAAAAATATGCTCACAAGATAGATCTTCTCAAAATTAATAATTATGAAATGCTACTACTGCTGAGTGGTTACATGGATATTCACCCGTGAGTTTTATATTTATATTCTGGGCACTCTGCTTAGTATGTCATATATTAAAAATGTAGTTTTTAAATGATACCACTGGCTCATCAAACATGTAAAAATCTAAAAATCTGATGACATTTTTTTTTCCTTGAAGGATCATTTAATTGATCTTATCAACTGGCCGCTTTTTTGGATTCTAATTTAGGCTTTTTTGTAATTGGCATTTTTATTGAGATAATTATAGACTCACATGCAGTTGTAAGAAATAATACACAGATCCCCTGTACACTTTGCTCAGGTTCTCACAATGGTAACATTTTGTAAAACTATAGTAAAATATCACAACCAGGACACTGACACTGATACACTCCACAATCTTATTCCGATTTCCTATTGTACTTGTGCTGGTGTGTGTCTCTGTGTGTCTGAGTACGTACATTAAGTTCTACTGAATTTTATCATCTGCGTAGGTTAGGGTACCTATCACCATAGTCAAGATAACGAACAGTTCCAAAAATACAAGATTCTCTCATGTTGCCCTTTTATAAGCAAAACCACCTCCCTCCCACCACCTCCTCATCCTCATATCTAACCACTGGCAACCACTAATCTGTCCTGCATTTCTAAAATTTCATCATTTCAAAAGTGTTATATAAATGGATATAGACTGTAATCTTTTATGATTGGCTCTTTTTTGCTCAGGATAATTCCCTACGGGTTCATTCAAGTTGTTCTTGTATCACTAGTTTACTCCTTTTATTGCTGAACAGAACTCCATGGTACAGATGTACTACGGTTTGTTTAATCATTTATCTGTTAAAGGACATCTAGGTTGTTTACAACTTTTGGCTATCATGAATAAAACTGCAATAAGCATTTGTGTACAGGTTTTGTGTGAAAACACACTTTCATTTCTCCGGGGTAAATGCCCAGGAGTATGACTGATGGGTTGTGCGGTAGTTCCGTGTTTAGTTTTTAAGAAACTGCCCATCTGTTTTCCAGAGTGGCTGTACCAGCAATGCTGAGTGATCCAGTTTCTCCACATAATACCCAGCATTTAGCATTTGGTGTTGTCACAATCTTTTATTTTAGCCATTCGGATAGATGTGCAGTGACATCTCATTCTGGTTTCAATTTGCACTTCCCTAACGGCTAATGGTATCTTTCCATCTGCTTATTTGCCACCTGTACATCTTCTTTGGTGAGATGTTTCTTCATGTCTTTTGCTCATTTTCTAATTGGATTGTTTTCTTTTTTTTAACCACTGAGGTTTGAGAGCTCTTTACATATTCTAGATAACAGCCCTTTATTGGATATGTGGTTTGTAAATATTTTCTTCCAACCTCTAGCTTGTCTTTTCATCCTCTTCACGTGGGCTTTTACAGACCAAAAATTTTTAATTCTGATGAGATCCAATTTACTAATTTTACTATTAACTGACTGCACTTTTGGGGTCAAGTGCAAGAATTCTTTTCCCAGCCCTAGATCCTGAAGACTTTTTCTCCATGTTTTTTATAAAAGTTTTAGTTTTCTGCTTTTACATCTAAGTCCATAATCCATTTTTAGTTAATTTTTGTATAAGATGTTAAGGTGAAGTAAAAAAGTTCATATTTTTATCTATCAAAATCTACTTGCCCCAGACCATTTGTTGAAAAGGCTATCCTTCCTTCAATGAATTGCTTTTGTACCACTGTAAAAAATCAACTGGTACAATGTGGACGGAGCTTTAAGACTTTATGCTGAGTGAAATAATTCAATCACGAAAGAACAAATATGATATGACCTCACTTACATATAAAGACAAGAAAAGGCAAATGTATAGAGACCAAAGTTTATTAGTGGTTACCAAGAGCAAGTGGGAGAAAGAAAGGAGGGTGGTAGTTATTGCTTATGGAGTACTGAGTTTCAGTTTACGACAATGGAAAAATCACACTGATTAAGGGTAGGGTTGCACAGTTGATTATTACAAATGCTGAAAATAAGTTGTACACCTGTAAAAAGTTGAATTGGCAAAAGCTGTGTGATATATATATAGTATTTAAAATGACAATAACAAAAAAAAAAAAAGAGTAGCTGTTGAGGCTGCTTATATACAACCAAATACTTCATGGGATTTGGTTCCTTGGTATGGAGGTTTAGGGTCACGGTTTCATGGGACATCCGAGTTAACTGGCCTGATAACATGTTTAGTGCTTCTGTACTACCTCTTAGTTCACTGTGCAGTGCCTGGGGTCTTAAAAGCTTGCAAGTGGCCATCCAAGGCACAACCACTGGTCTCTATTCACCTGGAGCAACAGAGGAAGAAGGACATTCAGGAATAGGAGGAGGATATGCAATGTGTGGCTAATTGCCTCCATGAACAACTGCCTCCTTCGCAACGAGACCAGAAGAACTGGATGGTGTCCAGCTACCTTTACTGAACATTCTGATCAAACATTCTATAGACAAATCCTGATCAAAAGGGAAAATGCAGAAAATTACTTCAAATTCTCACGGATTCCAGACTTTCTGGAGCCATGGAGGCTGAATGAACTCACCAAGTTATTGCCCCGAGATAATCTTTAAACCTCAAGGCAAAAATATCCCCTTGAAATCTTCTTAAAACTAAACGATAGTTTAGCTTAACTAGTAAGAAAAAATGTCTGCCTTGAACATTGTGCTCTTCTAGGAACTATTTATATGGGATCAAATTGACTACAGCAACTCGAAAGATTAGACAGGAACCTTCAGGGGCAGTGAGTTTATGTTAATGGGGGAGGAACAAGTCAGAAAAGGAGGGTGAAAACAGCATCCTTGCACAACTCAAAGAGTAGAATCAGTGTCACTAAATTGTACATGCAGAAACTGTTGAATTGGTTTATGTTTTGCTGTGTATATTCTCAACAACAACAACAAAAATTAAGTGGGCATATTTATGCGGGTCTATTTTTGGGTTCTCTATGCTGTTCTACTGAGCTATGTGCGTATCCCTCTGCCTACACCACACAGCATTGATTACTGTAGCTATACACTAAACCAAACCCACAGTCAATTCCAACTCACAAGGACCCTACAGGACAGAGCAGAACTGCCCATGATGTTTCTAAGGCTGTAAATCTTTACGGAAGCAGACTGCCACATCTTTCTCCCACAGAACGGCTGACAGGTTCAAAACACCGACCTTTCAGTTAGCAGCTAAGCACTTTAACCACTGCACCACCAGCGTTCCTTTTAGCTATATAGGAAGCTTTAATATTGAGTAGAGTGACTCCTTCCACTTTATTCTTTCTTCATGAAGACTGTTTTAGCTATTCTTTTGCCTGTACCTTTCCATATATATGTCAGAACAAGCTTGTCTAAGTCTACAAAAAACCTTGCTGGGCTTTTGGGAGGAACTGCATTAACCCTATATAGACTGATTTAGGGGAGAACTGGCATCTTTACTATGTTGACTCTTGCAATGTATGAAGGCAGTATGTCTCTCCATTTAGGTCTTTAATTTCTTTCATTGCCATTTTGTAATTTTCATTATATGGATCCTGTACATGTTTTGTTAAATGTGTATCTAAATGTTTTCTCTTCTTTGGAGTAACAGTAAACAGTACTGTGTTTTTAATTTCAGTCTCTGTGCATGTTCATATATAAATATAATTGATTTTTGTGTGTTTATCTTATATTCTGTAAACTTACTGAACTCACCAGGGCTCTAGGAGGTATTTTTTTGAGAGTCCTTGGAAACTTCTATGCAAACGATCATGTCATCTGCACACAGGATAGTTTTACTTCTTCCTGTCCAATCTGTATACCTTTCATCTCTTTCTTTTTTTGTCTTATGGCACCGGCTAGAACTTCCAGTACTATGCTGAATAAGAGCAGTGAAAGCATATATACTAGCTTATTCCCAGATCTCAGGAAGAAAACATTCAGTCTTTCACCATTAAATGTAATGTTAGATGTAGGTTTGCAGATGCACTTTATCAAGCTGAGGTAATTCCTCTCTATTCCTAACTTGTTGAGTCTTTATCAGGAATGGGTGCTGGATTTTGTCAAATGCCTTTTCTGCATCAACTGATATGACCTTATGATTTTTCTTCTTAACTTGTTGATATGAAGAATTGAGGCTATTTTAAAAAAGATATTTCACTAAGAAGTCAAACACAGTAAAACCTTGATTAATCACCCTTACCTTCCGTAGTTCAACTGTCACTTCATTTCTGTGTCTTCGCATTGTCTAAAAAGAAAAACAAAGATTTTGTAAGTATCCAAACACTGATATTGCTAGCATATAAATTAAGTTCTCAGACATCTACGATTTAAAATTTAGAAGTAATTTAATTTTAAGGATTAAAAGCTAAGCAGTTTTAGACTTATAATGAAGACTTGTAAGAGGTGAAAAAGCCAAAAATCTTGTCTATTTTAGTGGCTATCTGTTGGGTAACTTCAAGGAAGATGGAAGGTGAGGCTTGGCTGCCTAGGATCCAGTCCCCTTTCCTAATTGCACTCAGGTTCCTCTGGAGAATGACACCTTCCCAATTGTGTACAGTTTTCATGGAATCACCTACTAACGTCTCACTCTCTCCTAGCTAAAGTAGGGCATGAGACTCCAACTATGCCAACAAACTCTATCCCCCCCCCAACTCTGAAAATACATTAATACCCACAGCAGGTATTTATACAACATAGTTAATAATGTCTTTATCTTGGACTTGCTCTATTCCCAGTTCACCAGTATCCCTACTCATTCTATGAACTACCTCAAATTCTTCCCATAAATTATTGTTTTGATTAATTAATTAAGACAGAGCTGGTTTTTGATGCTTGCAATGAACGAATTCAAACTCAAATGATTCATGTTTTTAAAAAAAGTAAATAACTCATTGTCATGGCCTTAAAACCACATGAAAATAAAAATAAGTCTGAGATAGATATTTTCTATCAAAAGGTAAAGATGTATCCTACGTTTACAAACAGGCTCTATCAGGCATGTCTTATCAGGAACTATTAAGGTGATTAATAGTTCTTTGATCTACTGATATGATGGATTATTTTATTACATACACAAATACGGTTACATTCTTGTATTTCTGGAGTAAAAGTTACATGTTGCTTTTGTTGTTGTGTGCCATCCAGTTGATTCTGGCTCATAGCAACCCTACAGGACAGAGCAGAACTGCCCCATAGGGTTTCCTAGGCTGAAATCTTTACAGGGGCAGCCAGCCAGGTCTTTTCTCCTGCAAACAGCTGGTGGGTTCAAACCGCCAACCTTTTCGTTAGCAGCCAAGCACCTAACCACTGAACCACCAGGGCTCCTTAAAAAGCTGTAGAGTCATGGTATATTATACTTTTAATATACTGACAGATTAAGAATACTTTTGTTGTGGTATCTCTGTCAAGCTTTCTTAAACTGCAGTGATAAATTAATCCCTTTTTAGGGGAAAAAAAATCCTGTGGAACTCAAGTAATAAAATTTGTCAAAATATTGACATAATAATCTACATAAAAACCTATACTTTCTAAATAGATACATGTTAAATGTAGAAACTGCCACACAAAAGTCAAATTAGTAACATTAATGTGATGGAATAATGCATTAATAAAACTATTACCACTGATAAGAGTTCAACAGTAGGAAGACTTCAATACAATTACCACAGAGAATGTCTTATGCACTAGTACATCATACATAATGGTAATAAAAATGTTGCACAATTTTCAAACACCAGTACTACTGAATTATCATTTGATAACTCTGTAAACTGTCTTTATGTACTTGAAAATTAGAACTGTACTGCTATTAAAATTTGCCTAAATTAATACCTAAACCGTTACTAAAACTCAAAAGAGAAAATATTTTCATTGTAATAACCACACTTAATTGTTTACTAATTATTATAAGATGGTATTTAACATAAACGGGGGAGAGTAATTTGGAAAAGGATAGTGATAATGGTTGCACAACGTGATGAATATAATCAACGTCACCGAACTGTACATGTAAACGTTGTTGAATTGGCAAATGTTTGGTTATATATATAGTTTTTATCACAACGGGGGGGGGGGGAGGATAGTTTAGCGGCCAAGCGTGTTAACCGTTTGCACTACTCAGGAACTTCCTAGGAGTTGAAGGCCTCCTATATTCACTCAGAAGAACCTTATGACTATAAATGATCAAACTGGTTTAGATGAGTTAACAACAGGAACCATACTATGTATGATACAAGTACCTTTGAGTTAGTCAATGGCTTATTCTGTTTTCTATTTGAGCTACTCTCTTCCCTTACATTCTTCCCAAGTGATCTCATCTAGTCTTATGTCTTCAATTACTGTTTGATGACTACTCCCAAATATCTATATTTACCCAGGCCTCTCACCTAAGTTCCAAATCTGTAAGTCCATCCACTGAACAAAAATTTACTGAGTGCATTCAGATGACAAATTGACAGTCTAGTACATCAGTCGGCAAACTAAAGGTTGCGGGCCAAATCTAGGGGGCTGTCTCTTTTTCTAGGACCTGAAAGGGAGGAATAGTTTTTACATTTTTAAGTGGTTACATTTTAAATGATATAAGCACCTACATAAAATCCTTGATTTTGCCTCTTGGCCCCCAAACCTAAAACTTGTACTATGCGTCCTTTTAAGAAAAAGTTTGTCAACACATGGTCTAGTAAAAAAGACAAAGACAGGTCATTAAATAACCAGTAATAAAATGCGTTAAGTGTTAAGACAAGAAATAATGGATAAGTTTCTTATCGGAAGGATACATAATTGGAGGATCAGGAAAAGGCTATGGAAAGGATTAAAACATGAGTATATCTGTGTGTGTGTGCGTGTGTGTGTGTGTGTGTGTGTTTAGGGGTAGAAGGTAGTTTGTTGCAAGGGCCTCAAATACAACATGCTTAAAACTAATATCATACCTACTCCCCCTCTCAAAAACCAAACAAACAAAAAAACCACCATCTACTCTTCCAGGCATATTCCTAACATCAGTAAACAGTATAATCATCCAAACAGCTACAAGAGCACCAATCCTGGGAAATCATCCATGTCTACTCACTCTCTCACCCTCCAACAAATCCATCAAGTCACCAAAATCTAGAGATTCAAACCTCCCAGTTCCACTGCTACTATCTTAGATCAAGCCACCATCATCTTACCCAGACCAGTATAATAGTCTAACTAGTCTCCTTACAAGGAGCCCTGGTGGCACAATGGTTAACTGCTTGGCTGCTAACTGAAAGGTTGCTCTAAGGGAGAAAAGACCTGGTGATCATCTGCCTAGGAAAACTTATGGGGAGCTCTACTTTGTCCTATAGGGTCGCTATGAGTCAGAATCCACTAGACAGCACACAACAATAACATAGTCTCCTGACAGCCACTGAATCAATTTTCCAAATAACAGCCAGAGGAGTCTTTTTAAAATTCAAACCTGTATTGTCATTCTCTTGAATAAAACCTCTCAATGGATTTTTTTACTCTCTTGTAATTCTTCACCCCACAAAAAGACAGAGCTAGCAGGATAGCCAAACCAAAACCCCACATTCAAAATCTACAACAAGGTATCTCCATGAAGTCTCAAATACAAGTGGGACCTGGTTAAATCAGTGATTATAAGACTTGCGTGGTACCATGTATACAGAAGGAAAGAGAAGAGCAGGAGCAATGGGGCCGCTGATGAACCTGAGGACAGAACACCATAATCAGGAAGCACTGGAGAATCTGGAAAGGCAATTTGAGAACAACAGTTCCATGCCAGTGTATAATAGGCTAGACTCAAAAACAAGGAGCTGAAGTCCCCTTCCTAGACAAAGCCCTAAACTGCTGAGTAGAATCCAAAGTGAACAAGTGAGACACAATAGGGGCAAAGGAAAGAGAAGGTCCAGATAAAAGTGGGGTAGAGAAACAGAGCCAGGAGATCTCAGAAAATAGACAGCCATATTTTTTATAACTTTGAAAAAGCAACAGAAAAGGGAGCTAGAAAAGCTATCCGGACCTACCTCTCCTTTCTAAAAGTTCAGGAAAATCTATCATAAAATTAACAACAGAAAACGATTATGGTCGAATTCCATGCTTTATGAAATGGGAGAGTAAGGAGCATAACACTGACGCTGAAATCCTGCCAAAAAGACATACTCACAAAACAGATGAAAACTGTATCTTAGAAAATAACATAAAGTATTATAAATCAGAATTAGAAAAACTCAGAAATGGGGTACAAGTAATCAGGAAAGGATTAGAAATAAAACAAAATATTATTTGATAAAGGAGACCTAACCAAGAACAATCACAAGAGCCAATAAACACAACACATAATACTTATAAGAAGTGTATAAGGAAAAAAAATTTAAATAAAAAAGAAATGAAAGTAAAAATATCAGCATGACACCGACAACAATATAAACAAAGACCCTAAATATACATCATAAGGAGTCCTTAAGAAAGAAAATCAGGCCCTGATACCAAGGCCAGGGAAGGACACCATAAAAAAAATAAAGAAAATTACATACTAGAATCTCTCATGAATACAGATGAAAAATTCTCAACAAAATTCTAGCCAATAGAATTTGGCATCACATCAAAAAAATAACACACCACGACCAAGTGGGACTCATACCAGGTATGCAAGGATGGTTCAACATTAGAAAATCAATCAACATAATCCACCACATAAACAGAACAAAAGAATCACACGATCATCTCAATAGACACAGAAAAGGCACTGAATAAAGTCCAACAGCCATTCCTGATAAAAACTCTCAATAAAATAGGAATAGAAGGGAAATCCCTCAACATAATAAAGGATTTCTACACAAAACCAACAGACAACATCATTCTCAATGGAGAGAGGCTGAAAGCATTCCCTCTGAGAATGGGAACAAGACCAAGATGCCCTTTATCATCACTCCTATTTAACACTGTGCTGTAAAGTCCTAGCTACAGCAATAAGGCAAGAAAAAAAAAAAGAAAGCACATCTAAATTGGTAAGGAAGAAATAAAACTATTCCTACTCACAGATATATGATCCTGTATATAAAAAAATCCAAAGATTTACTGGAACGAATAGAAAGATTCAGAAAAGCAGTAGGATACAAGATCAACGTCCAAAACTAAACTGGATTCCTATACACCAATAAAGAGAACTTTGAAAAGTAAATCAGGAAAGCAATACTATTTATAATAGCCCCTAAAAAGATAAAATACTTAGGAATAAATCTAACCTCAGATGTAAAAGAAAACCACAAACCACTACGGCAACAAAACACAAGACCTATATAAATGGAAAACTGTATCATGTTCATTGGATAGAAGACTCAACATTGTGAAAATGTCAAAACTACCCAAAACAATCTACAGATATAATGCAATCCTGAGTCAAATATCAACAGCATTCTTTAACAAGATGGAAAAACTAATCGCCAACTTTATATGGAAAGGAAAGAGGTCCCGGATAAGCAAACCATTACTGAAGAAAAAGAATATAGCAGGAAGCCTCACGTTACCTGATCTCAGAACCTACTATACAACCATGGTAGTTGAATCAGCCTAGCGCTGGTAAAATGACAGACACACAGACCAACGGAACAGAATTGTGAGAAAATCCAGATGTAAATCCATCTATCTATGGTCAGCTGATCTTTGACAAAGGACCAAAGTCTATTAAACAGGGAAAAGACAGTCTTTTTAACAAATGGTGCTGGCAAAACTGGATGTCCATCTGTAAAAAAGAAAAGAAACAGGACCCATACCTCATATCATACACAAAAACTAACTTAAAATGGATCAAAGACCTAAATATAAAACCTAAAATGATAAAGATCATGGAAGAAAAAGTAAGGACAACACTAGGGGCCCTAAGACATGGCATAAATACAATACAAACCATAACTAACAATGCACAAATACCAGAAGATAAACTAGGTAACAGGGAGATCCTAGAAATTAAACACTTATGGTCATAAAAAAAAAAAAAAAGGGAACCTACAGACTGGGAAAAAAAATATTTGGCTACAACATATCCGACGTGGGTCTAATCTCTAAAATCTATAAAATACTTCAATACCTCAACAACAAAAAGACAAAAAATCCAATTAAAAAATGGACAAAGGATATGAACAGACACTTCACCGAAGATGACATTCAGGCTCCTAACAGATACATGAGAAAATACTCACAATCACTAGCCAGTATAGAAATGCATATCAAGATTACAGTGAAATACTATCTCATACCGACATTACTGGTATGAATCAAAAGAACAGCAAATAACAAATGTTGGACAGGTTGCAGGGAGTTTCAAACTCTTATGCATTGCTAGCAGGAATGTAAAATTGTGCAACCACTATGGAAAACCACATGGTACCCCCTTAAAAAGCTAGAAATAGAAATACCATACAATCCAGCAATCCTATTCCTAGGACTATATCCTAGAGAAATAAGAGCTGCCACACGAACAGACATATGCACACCCCTGTTCATTGCAGCATTATTCACAATAGCAAAAAGATGGAAACAACCTAAGTGCCTACCAACAGATGAATGTATAAACAAACTATGGTACATACACACAACAGAATACTACACAATAATAAACAACAATGATGAATCCGGAAAACATCTCACAACATGGATGTATCTGAGGGCATTATGCTGAGTGAAATAAGTCAATCACGAAAAGACAAATACTGGAAGAGAACACTATTATAAAAACCCAAGAAAAGGTTAACACACAGAAATAAACAATCTTTGATGGTTATGAGGGAGGAGACTGGTGGGGAAGAAAAAACACTAGATAGTAGATAAGTGGTAACTCTGGTAAAGGGTAAGACAATACACAATACTCGGAAGTCAGCACAACTTGATCACGGCAAAGTCATAGAAGCTTCACAGACACATCCAAACGCCCTGAGGGACCAAATTACTGGGCTGGGGGCAGGGGAGGGGGGGACATGGGACATCTAACTCAATTGACATAACAGTCTATAACAAAAACGTTCTACATCTGACTGTGGTGAGCAGTGTCTGGGATCTTAAAAGCCTTCAAGCAGCCATCTACGATACATCTATTGGTCCCATCCTGGCTGGAACAAAGGAGAACGAAGAAAACAAAAGACACAAGAGAAAGATTAGTACAAAAGACTAATGGACCACAACTACCACAACCTCCCCCAGACTGAGCCCAGAACAACTAGGTGGTGCCTGGTTACCATCATCGCCTGCTCCGGCAAGGATCACAATAGAGGGTCCTGGACAGAGTAGGAGAAAAATGTAGAACAAAATTCAAATTCACAAAATGAAAAAGAAAAAAAACAAAAAGACTAGGCTTGCTGGTCTGACAGAAACTGAGAAATCCCAAGAGTATGGCCTCACTGGACACCCCTTTAACTCAGTACTGAAGTCACTCCTGAGGTTCACCTTTCGGCCAAAGATTAGGTCTACAGGGCAAACAATAACACACATGAGGAACATGCTTCATAGTTCACTCATGAATACGAGACCAATGGGCACACCAGCCCAAAAGTAAAGGCAAAAAGGCAAGAAGGGACAGGGAAAACTGGACGAATGGAAACAGGGAACCCAGGGTGGCGAGGGGGAGAGCACTGATGATACATCATGGGGTTGGCAATCAATGTTACAAAACAATTTGTACATTAACTGTTCAATGAAAAACTAATTTGCTCTGTAAACTTTCACCTCAATCACAATCAAAAAAAAGAAACTAAAAAAACCAACAAAAAAGAAATCAAGTGACATAGCGTACTGGGCAAATTTGCTGCAAAAAACCTCTTTGAAGTGTTTAAAAGCAAAGATGTCACTTTGAGGACTTACGCATGCCTGACCTAAGCCATAGTATTTTCAATTGGCTCATATGCATGCAAAAGCTGAACTACGAATAAGGAAGACTGAAGAACTGATGCCTTTGAATTATGGTGTTGGCGAAGAATACTGAATATACCATGGACTGCCAGGAAAATGAACAAATCTGTCTTGGAAGAAGTACAGCCCGAATGCTTCTTAGAAAGGAGGATGATGAGACTTTGTCTCACATACTTTGGACATGTTATCAGGAGAGACGATTCCCTGGAGAAGGACAGGGTAAAGTGGAGGGTCAGCAAAAAAGAGGAAGACCCTCAATGTGTATTGACACATTGGCTGCAACAATGGACTCAAACATAGTAATGATTGTGAGGATGGCGCAGGAC